ACGTGTTGTGAGAATGATGAAACGCACGCGATAGAGGATGAAGTGTACGCACATGGACAGATTAATACGAGTGCATGTTAGCTCGTGCTTCGGAGACATGCTGAATTTAGGTCCTCCATATTTTTATAACATAATCCGTTCAATATTCGTTCATAAATATTTAAAATATTGCAATATCCTTTTTAAAATAAAAATTGCAAAGATTGTATTGCGTAGCTTATTTTTATGTTCATTTTCATTTCATGGATTCAGTATTTCAAATTGTATAGGTGGTCTATTTGCTCAAGGCCTTTTAAGATATTAAGGCTGCCCTTAGCGTGCGAAAGTGAGAGAAACTAGAGGTTTAAAGAAGTTATAGGTACGCGAAAATAACGCAGGAGTAGCGAAAATATGAAAAAATACGGCTGGAAATTATGGGTTGAATGATATTTTGTTCCTTAAAAATAAAATATCCATTATCCCATGATGGTCAGCCTCCTCATTTGAGATCTCACATTTCCGGTCCACATAAATAGGCTTCCTTTGTACTAGTTAGCGAATTTCGTTTCCTCCACTGACGCAGACATCCTTGACGAAACATATAAACAATGTTTCAAATTCCAGAACGCTAGATTTAGCCGACTTTGCTGAAACATTGAACGTTCCTGTCCAGAGCGTGTCCATTGCATGTTTACTATCATTTGTTAGCGCAAAATTCCTATTTCTTTTGAATTTGCCATTATTTCTAATAGGGAATTATTGATTTCATGAGTATTCATTTCAAAAGTGACTCTGATGCTTCTCTAAAAATTTGTATCAGATGCTCGTTAATACCTTCTTTGCGTCATTCACATAATTCAATTTCATTATATGTATCAGCACTGGATATCACATCTACAGGTTTACATGAGTTTTTATTTTTTATTTTTGGAAACGCTAAACCTTTCCCAGCGAGTATTATATAATGAATTTGCTTACACATATATGATTGAATATACGTCCATCGATTGCAGGTAGCAGCTTGCATTAGTTACATATCCAATAGAGATCTGTAAAATACTCACCCTGAACTCTCTTTACTACATTTTATCTCGACAGATATGAGTCAGTTTGAAATAGTTTACTTCCATTTTTCCGTTTTTTTATTCGTTACACATTTAGCTTACACTCTTCTGGAAGGAAACGTTTGTATTCTGTTACTGAACTTCATTTCCGAATGGAGAAACACGAGGTGCAAGGAAATCTATGGTAGAGCGAGTTTTGTTCTAAATTTAATTGGGACCAGTTTACTTTCTCAGGGAAAAGTGACAATTTCGCAAACGAAATTTAGGAACTGTTTTTGATTTGCTTACAAACAAACTTGCATTTGACCCTTCTCTGTCGGTTCACCTCAAGTCTCATCCGAGTGCTCCCGGTTTTAGGGGTCGCCGAATCGCCCCCTGCAGATGTATGCGCACCGCTCTCGTAGCTGCCCGCAGGGACTGACATTGGCCAGGAACACCTTGCAAGGTGAGGCCTCTTCCGACTCATTTCATCTCATTTCATTTCTTTCTGTTTAAAATAGTTTTGTGCAATATGACTCTTCATCATTCACCGATATTTTGAATAGAATTAGCATCTTCAAAAGAACACATTCGTGTTGATGTGAATATGTGAATTGAATTGAATTGAATTGAATATGCCTTATTTTACGTGGCGAGACTATGTGTCACGTCTTTGCCCATTATTCTAATTGATGGGTGGACGTAAATGTTGATTAATAATTTATGACAATATAATGCTTGAGCATAATTATGTCGAGTCCATTTCCATTGCTGAACGTTACAGATTTGCTAGTCTATGGAGACTTTTCCAAACTCGTTTTCTAAAATAATTAAAGATGTTGTCATTGCCAACACTGTTTCTTAATTCAAAAGCAGCTTTCGATGGCTTAGCCATCATCATCAGTTGTCTGCTAGATGGAAGCCACAAAACGGCCACTTACGACGTTTTCTAAAGCTCAACGATTAAGAATATTGATTAGAAATGCACATTTTAGGTTATCCTCTCACCTTCATCATGTAGATCTTCAATATTGAAGAGAACGGTTCTTACGTTTTTTTTCTTCGTTAGTTTCTGCTACATTGATTATTGTTATTATTGAGTTTTATTATTATTATTTTTTTGTTGTAACCATACAAAAATAAGTGTTTCCTTGTACACTAGAGCCACTCACGTTACAATGCAAGTGTAGTGTTGTAACCTCACTGCATCGCCGTGGCCCGCTGAAGTGGCACGCGTGCATCTCGCATTTTATTAGACTAGTGCCGGTCTCGCCTACCCTCTCTTCTTGTCGGGCTAAATCATCAACAGTATTTTAGTAGCACATCGCAGCTGCTCTTTCCGTTTGACTCGAATGACTAGGAACACATTTTAAATATTACTTTATTTGTGAGTCCCATCAGCAGTCGCATTACACAACACATTTACTTTTAAATATGAGAAGGATAACCTGAGTATTATTTTAAATAACCTTCTTTTGAATGTGAATCTCTTGAAAGTTGAGAACGTCCGAAAAATCATGGCATCTATTGTTTACATTATGGGTCAGCTTCTTAAAACGTGGGTTCAACGCAACACGTTGCATGAAATTATACAGACTGTCTCAAAATAAATGTTACAAAAACTTGTCTACTTTACTGTATAGAGAAATGTGGCTTCTCTTATTAAGAACAAGCAGTCAATAACTATTAAGTGAATATAAAACCTCATATTTTATTCTTGAAGAACACTTATTGTGCAACGTTCCAAGAGTTTGACTTTTACTCCCATCACCAAGCTGTAACTTTACTAAAAATAAGTTACAGTAAACTGAATTTTGTGTGTTAAAAGGTATGGATAAAGGAATGAAGAAAGGCCACATAATATAAATAATGTGTGTAACTATATCTACTTTACCTTCATCCATTATCGGCTACATGCGGACTCAGTGGTCACGGAGACTACTGCCATTTTAAATACATTGCCACTCCTGTACTCCTCATTCACAAGGCGAACTAAAACGTAAATGTAACGTAGCCGAAAAACCTACAAATGAGTTATTAAGCCAGACCATTCACAATACCCTGACGTAACCGTAGGCGTAAATCTGTAAACGTAAGAGCTCACTAGTACCATATTTTTATGTTACGTTTATGTCGGAATTTTACCGAAGACCAATCCGAGAGCAGCATCAAAGAAACAAATGCACAACAAAATCCGAGGAAAGCAAATGCAAGGTCGATTTTAGTTTGAGTTCAGGTAGTTTGTAGTTATGTCATTTCATGTAATGTAGAGAACTAGTTAGCGAACGATTTGGATACGAATAATGAATTCAAAATAGGAATTTAGGCCCTTCATTGTGACTTTCATTTGTTATGACGAATAAAATAATTATGTTTCACGAATTTCTCGTGTATGTGGTACTAGAGAATCCTTGTTTCTAAAATAAAGGAAATAGGAGCACTAATACAACAGCTAATGGCATATATAAAGCCAAATCGATAGAAAAGTCGAAGAGAAATCGTGGGGGAAAGATTTTATCCCCATGCTAGAAACGAATCGATCAAGCTTCAATACGTTGAATTCTGATTGGTTCAGACGAAACCTACCATCAAGCTTACGTTCGTCATTGTGAATGCCCGTTTTTACGTGTAAATTTCCCTGCTGAGTTTACGGTATTAAGTTTGCGTGGTGCACAAGGCCTAACGCCTGCGTCTTTTCCCGAAGCGTCCGCCTCGGAGCACGTGACCGCCAGGGCTGACGCTGCGTCGGCGTCGAAGCGAAGCGCCTCCTGCAGCAAGGAAGGCGTCGGCAGGGGTGGCGTCGCCGGCGCCGCCTTCGCCAGGATGAGGCCGCACAGCGCCGGTAGGTCCACGCTCCGCTCGAGGAGAATTCCAGCGGCCGGCTGCTCTGATCGGTAGTTTTCCGTGGTTTCTCCGTTCAATCCCGGTAGAATGCTGGCGAACTACCCTATTTTTTTTTAGATTTATTAATAATTCTGCAATTAAGTGTGAGAACTTGGTGGCAGAATACACCAACTTAACATTACAGAACTTAACAACTATACAAACTCTACAAACGTTACAAAATCACATGAACATTTCACCGTGCAATCTTTCATAGAACTCCACTTCACCAAACTTCACTTCACCACACTTCACCGCACTGCGATACAGCGAGCTGTAATAAACAGGCGATCATTCCTTCCTCTTTCTTGTCATATCCTCACCCCTTACTAACACACACTTACATGCAGCACACTGCTACACATGTCAGGAGATCGGACGCTAATTCAGAGATTGTCCCAGCTGGTGCTGATGGGAGATACCTAGTTGGGGAAAATCACGCTGCCGACAGTAGGTCCGGGCCGGACCTCACCACCCAATGAGCGAAGATTACCACCCCCTCCAGAGAGAAAACTAATGTTGCTACAGAATGACTCAAACTTTCTTGCAATAAAGGTTTCTAATATACTTGGTGTTGACTGACTTTAGTCTTGCTCCATTCTCTAGCCAGCTGCCATGTATTGCACCACCAGTGTATATTTTTTTAAAAAAATTCTCAATTTTTTGGTTTTGTGCCTTTTCCTGCATTGAAACAGTTTCAAGAAAAAAAATTGGAGCTGTTTTGGAGAAAATGGCGTTTGAGCGTTTCTGAAAATGCGGAATTTGCAGCTAATTATAACAGAAAACTGTTGAGGAACTATATATTACATTATTTAAAGCACATGTACTCATAAAAACAATAAGGTGAACAAATTACCGCAAAATGTCGCTAATTAACGACGTGAGAGACAAGTCAAAAAAATGCATTACGTAACTTTCTCTAAACTACGTATATTACTGCGTATATACGTTCGTAGACGAGAAAGTAAAAACATGCTCTACACTTACGGGGCTAACGACCTTACCAAGTGACGCACCCAAACTCTTATCAATCTGAAAGCCGTTTTCCCTCTGCCAAAACTTAAATGCAGCGGCGTGCTCGCAGGCGGGGTGGAGGGCTCCGGGACGTCGGCGTCGGCGTCGCTGGCGTCGGTGACGTCGGTGACGTCGGAGGAGGACGGCGGCGCCGAGGCGGAGCGCGCGGAGCAGGCGGTGCTGATAGTGGTGCGGCTGCTGCACCGCGCCATCTCGCGCTGCTTCCCCAAGGGCGTCAAGGTGTCGCTGCGCGAAGCGCCTCCCGGGGCGGCCGCCTCCGCCTCCGCCGCCCAGTCCTCCTCCGCAGCCGCCGCCGCCTCCGCCGCCGAGGCGCGCAAGTACAAGCCGTCCAAGCGCCTGCTCCGCAAGATGCTCAAGGTACGGAAAACAACCAGGGCAGCGGGTCGCTCTCCGTAGGACTTCCTGTAAACTCGCTGGATTGCGAGATGAGAGCTACCTGAATTTATGGTTTTCAAAAACCGAGAATGAATTGCATTCACTCTATCTCTCTATCTAGTTACTACTCTCTATCTAGTTATTTGGGTTGCATTCAACTGGACAGTTCAAATATTGATTTAATAATCGGTTCTCGTTTATTTTACACATTAGAGATCTTAGTTAGACGTTGCCGTGGGTGTTTCCGGAATGAACCGAGGGAACCAGATATCTTTGTTGACATCTGAGTGTCGCGACAAAACCCCTTCCTGTACACTCATTGGTCATCGAGATGAGAGCTAACCGAATTTTTAATTTATTTTTAAAGTTGGTATGAATTACAATAATCGTCTTCCTTCTACTTGACCTGTATTCAACTGAACAGTTTAAGAATCGATTAAATGGGCGGTGCTCCCTTTTATACATGAGAGATCTTAGTTCAAACGCTATGTTTGCTGTTATCGGGGCAAGACCGTTCCCCGCGTAATGCACTCACAGCTCTCGATCTCATAATAGCTTCCTGTGTTACGGGATCCAGCACTTTTCTATTAAATCGCTGGGGTGCGAGAGGTGTTACCTGAATTTATTGTTATCTAAGTTTTGGCATGAATGGAAATAATTGTGTTTTAATTGCTGTGATAGCGTTAGACTCTTATAAGTCTATCAATTAAAGATAAATGAAAGATATTTTTAAATCTGGAATCACGTCTTTCTATTTTATTGAGAATATTAAACGCAGTTAAGACATGTGTAACAATATGCATTTAGCAAATTAGCAATTAACTATTAAGCACTTCGTAATATATTGTGTTACTAACACGAATTACTTATTCATATGATTCAATTCTCATTTTTAATTTAATGGTTTGTTTTTCGTGAATAACGTGGGTTTCAGATGATATTAAACGCAAAAATTGAAATCGTAATATCAATAAAAAATCTCTTGGATAGTAATAAATTGTGCAATCTTGAAACAATTTTACATTCATTTAAAAAATATGTGGCATTTCTTCACGAAAAAGCTAAACTAAGTTGTGTGATGCCATATTCTCGATTGAATACGTCGGAACAATTATACAAAAGAAACATCTCGCAGTGACGTCAATAACCAACTACTGAACTAAAATGAATTTATTTTGAATGTCACATTATGACACAGAGAATTTCAACAATATAACAGCAGTATGAGATTGCAGATACCTCATTTAAGACGTAATGTTTCTCGCAAGTGAATACGTCTTTACTCAGCTTAGAAAATATAAATAAACAATGTGGTATATGAACCGACTGAGATAGCTAGGAGCAACGAATATTTCAATTTTGGAAGCTTTTGAAAACTAGCTTGAGAACTCAAAAAGCCGTCTGCTCTAATCGGTAGTTTTGTGATTTTTTTCAATCAATATGAAACGAATGCCGGAGCAGTACCCTAACAAATGGGCCATGGACCGCAATATTTCCATCCTTATCCTTCCATTCTCTCCTTTTACACACACCGTTACACTTACATTAACTACACTTTCTCACATGTGAGTGTCCGCCAGCTGACGAGTACCCTAACAAATGGGCCATGGACCGCAATGTTTACTTCCTTATTCTTCTATTCTCTCCTTTTACACACACCGTTTCACTTACATTAACTACACTTTCTCACATGTGAGTGTCCTCCACCAGCTGACGAGTACCCTAACAAATGGGCCATGGACCGCAATGTTTCCTTCCTTATCCTTCTATTCTCTCCTTTTACACACACCGTTACACTTACATTAACTACACTTTCTCACATGTGGGTGTCCCCCTCCAGCTGACGCGTAGATAACATTCTCGGAAATAGGCAGCACCTCCATCTGTCACGATCTAACACTTATGGAACTAAAGTCTACAACGTTTGCTGCGCGCGATAACAGAAATCGAGCAATTGATGGGAATAATGCGTGGCTTGTGCCTTGGCCGGTAAGATCCTGAACGAGCCGCCGGAGAGCGGCGCGGACGGGGGCGACGGCGACCCGGCGGGCG